TTTAAGCCTTGGTGTGAATATAACAAAATAAAACAAAACTAATCTTGAACGAGATACTAAGCTAACTGTAGAATATTTTTAGGAGTTAAGCTTTAGCTAATAGTAATTAGCTTAAGCTTATTTTGTACCATGTGACATTTTTATTTTATGGCTTTTGGCTTTCATGTTATACAAAGATGATTTTCAATAAACTATATTTAAATATTATCCACATGATTTAACATGATTATTGATAGGATTGAAGTCACTTTGCCAGCTTTTAAAATGTGTTACATAATCAGTGCACCTTATCACATTCACTCATTGTGAATGTGTAACCATGTCAGGCCAGTAGCAAGGCCTGGATATCTGGGGGTGAGGGGTGGGGGCTAAATGTCACAATGTTATTTGGTGATGTAACTGAATGTTTGTGTTGACTTCATAAACAAGGTGTAGTGACATGTTATTTGATGTGGTATTTTTCTTTTTTACACAGGAACAGCAATGGAAAATGAAGGCATGTTCTGGAACGTGCGTACAGATGATGTGCCAAATGTCGAATACATTCCAATGAATAATTTTGAATCTTTTGATTGCTATGAAAATAATGATCAATGTATGTTATATTATTTTTCAAATTCAATTGCATTCTTCTGGTTGATAATGGCTACTGCACAATGGTTCCTCTTGTGTGACTTCAGCATTTTCATGGAAAACCCTTTTCCCTCATCTGCTTTTCCAAAATTTTGTTATTCAAAAGTTTGTACAAGAAGAAATAATTGCAATGCCATGCCTAAGAAATAGTATGATCACAGTACAGAAAATGTAGATATTAAAATTAACTTAAATATATTCAAATATTAGGCGTTCTTAGCTTTCTTAAACAAGTTTTATTCTCAGAGATATATACCCCATTCACACCTAAACGTGTTTAGTTAAACTATGTTTTCTTTAGGAAAAAATTGAGAAACAAGAAACCTACAATATAATGAAACTTTCTAAAATATTATCAGAGCAAGACAAAGGATAGTTTACATGCGTTATTTTACTAAAGATTGTGCAGTTTTTAGTTAAACCACTTTAAAACATGTTTAAGCCTTGATGTTAATTGGGTAATAGTTTTTGTTATCATTTATTGTAAGTTGCTTAATTCTTTAGGGGAACAAATGTAAATATAGTTTAAGTATATATATACACACTGTTCTCATAATGGTTGACGAGCGCACGAAAACAAGGTCACCCAGTCCTCTTGCAAAGCTGAGCAAACTGGCTACTTATTCAAAATAAAGGTGGATAGTGAGAATTCAGGTCTCAACAAGAGAGGTCAATTTCTATACTTTTTTGACTAATGAATTTCATGTGCTTTTGTATCTTTTATTGTGAACTATGATTGGGTGTCACCTTGCCGCCTTGCACTTGTCAGCCATTTTGAGAATGGTGTATATTTCTTAGACTCAAGGTTTTCAGAGACCTTTGATTGATGGCTACTACTGAAGTTATTGAACAATACTTTATAGCTCTAGAATAAGGGCTGGTCAATCAGAAGTGACATATATATAATAATATTTATCTAAGGTTAGAGACTTTGAGGCAAAAATATTGTAAGCAATGCCTAATGATTCACACCTGATGAATCCTATTTAACCCATGAAACAAAAGCAAATCATCAATGTATGATAGCCAAATGAAAGTTTTAAAAACTGTTGAATTAGTTTATAGTATTGTCTTGTTCTTTTAAAATAAAATCACTTGAAAAAACCAAAATAATTAATACATAATACTTCATTTGCAGATGGTTCTTTAAAGCTAAGTGGAGAAATGAATGACATCAGTAGTGCTGAAGAGGAAACACCTCCTGTTCCACAAACAAGCACACCTACTACATATCTGGATGAAAAAATTGAAATACCAAGAGATGAAAGAGATGATGTGAGTTATTATTTTTGTTATTTTAGCTTATTTTGGGACTTTCTTTTCAACACAGTAGGGATTCCTTTAGGATACATTCTCCCATTTTCTTAGTCATTAAGTTTAACTTTAAGTTTAAGGCTTTTGGCAGTTACGGTGTTCCATAGTTTTAGGGGATAAAATAGACACCATCTTTAAATAATGTTTTCCTCAACCTCGGAATTGCTAATAGGTACCTGTATTATCGAGTTTGTGCTTTATTTCTTGTGCTAGATAATGACCAACATTTGATAGCTTGTATTTAGATGGAATAGCAACTATCAGCCATTTGTCAACCATGCATCACTATTGAATGACAAATGAATGTTATTGTTTGATGCCTTGATTGTTTAATTAATCGAACATTTAAAATATTCCTATGTAAATTCACTGATAAATACAAAATTATTCTTTTATATCAGTATTCGTTTAGTTTTTATCGTCTATGGGCATTTACTGGTCCTGGCTTTCTGATGAGCATCGCCTACCTGGATCCTGGTAACATTGAGTCTGATCTACAATCAGGAGCAATTGCTAAATATAGGGTATTTACATTTGCTTATCATTAAACATGGCAAATATTGTATTTTAAGCAAAGTTAAAATTGAGTCCTGTTGCTCAGCAGTTCAGTTTGCTGTTGCAGGGTGCACCCCTCCTTTCTGCAAAGCCTGAACAAGTGGCTATGCTTCATGATGGATCAATGTGATCCATAATTGTTGCTTACGTTTGACTGACAATAATGATTTTAGAGTGACTTTCATAAGCCTGTGAATAATAAATGTTAATTGTAATAATCATTTAATACAAACTAGTACGAGTTAATACTCATAAATCACAGTCAATAAACTTTCACTGTATATTGATAGTCTTGCTAATACACCTACTTGCAAGAAGGCTGTCATACAAGAATAGAACATTAGTAATTTAGTGAGAAAGGAATACATTAAAAGACAAAAGAAAAGGTTCAGCTTCAGTGATCTTCTTTTGTTTTTTAATATAATTCCTATCCCACTAAATCACTAAATTCTATTCTTGTATGACAACGTTCTTGCAAGTAGGTGTAACCACTATTACACATTATTATGCATTAATAAAAGTAATAGCTAAATTTTGTTTCACTGGTTTATGAAAATCACTCTAATATGCAAACATTCACTGTATTATTAACCTATCTGTGTTTTCTTTGTATGTAGCTTCTATGGATCTTAATGTTGGCAACCATCATGGGTCTTTTGATGCAGGTATGGTAATCAGCCGTGTTCCAAAAATCACAACTACTAAAGATGTATGACTAAGCAAGCATGTTCCCTTAGTATAATAGAGAATAAAAAAACTCTGCATCAGTGTGGGACATCCAGGATTTTAAAAAGAGGATTCCAAGACGGGGGGAGGGGGGGAGGAGGTCTAAAAGGAGGGTTCCTATTTTGTTCTTCTGAGCACAAAAAACATGATAGACTTTTCAAGATCTCAAAAAAGTGGGGATCCATAGAACCTAGAACTCCCGGCACTGTGCATGAACGTTTGGAAAAAGTTCTCAAGCTTTGATCATGTTTATAACAGGCTAAACAAAGTAAAGGTTTCCTGTTTGTTGACCTAAAGGAAATTCTGATTTGCATTTTTTATTTCTACAGAGACTTTCACTGCGTCTTGGAACAGTAACAGGTAAGTTTTATATAACTTCCAGTGCTAATATTGCTTTTATTGACTATGTTTCCTGTAGGAGGCAGGTAGATATTTATTTCTAGCCAGGAATCTAGCGTTGATGGCTATTTTCTTAAAGCTTTAATTTGCTTTCTTTTAATGGGTGATACTAGGTCGTCATTTGGCTGAAGTGTGTAATGAAAGATATCCTCGCATTCCACGAATCATACTGTGGGTCATGGTGGAGATTGCTATTATTGGTAGTGATATGCAGGTATGTAATGGCTCTTAAAAGAATTCTCTGATTTAACTTGGACTTTGAATTGTTAAATAGTTATTCCTACAGCCCAAATGGTCTACGAACTGTCAATAGCCCATGAGTTATAGATTATTTGAGTGAGAGGTCTAATTGTTTTAGTATAAACCTACCAACTTATTGTCAAGTAAATGGTTAAGAGTTGTTATATAATATTATTATTAGACTAGAACTTGGACTTTGAATTGTTAAATAGTTATTCCTACAGCCCAAATGGTCTACGAACTGTCAATAGCCCATGAGTTATAGATTATTTGAGTGAGAGGTCTAATTGTTTTAGTATAAACCTACCAACTTATTGTCAAGTAAATGGTTAAGAGTTGTTATATAATATTATTATTAGACTAGAACCTGCCTAGGAACAGCCACTTCCAGTTGTCACATACGGGACTTTATCTGTGAYGTCAGACACGTTTGCTTTGAGGACTTTTAGGGACAGTTTGTTGTTCTTGTAAAACCTATTCTTAATGAGACATAAGACATAACACAAGTGATTTTGAAATTTGGCTGAAATAATTTTTTTTGCATTGTTTTGGTTTTCAAAACCTGTACTTTTCACTTTTGGTCTATCAATAATAGACTACTAGTAGCTCAGCCAATTAGTGTGCAGGATAGTAGGTTTATACTAAAGTTTATCATACCAAAGTTTTAATGAAGGAATAAAATAAATTGAATGAACGTAAGGATTTAATGAACATCAGAATTTTATAAACAAATTCATGAATTAGTAATAAATGGAATGATTGAATGAATGGAATTAATGGAAGGAAAAATGATTGAATGGGATGAATGAATGGAATTAATGAGATTAATTAATTAATTAAATAAATGATATGAATAAATAATGAATAAATGGAAGGAAGGAAGTAAAAAATGAATAAAATTATTGAAATATATAAACGAATGGAATGAATAAATGGCCTTTTTGAGGTTGTTATTGACAGGGTTCATGCTACTTCTTAAACTCCTTGAAAACTCCTTGAATTTAATTCACATTTTCAAGGGCACTCGAAAAGCTCTTGAATTTTATGATTTTAGCAAAACTCCTTGAATTTTTGCTTCGAATATTACTTGCATTGTTCTGCAATAGATCTAGTCAGAAAGATTGGAAAATCTGAAAGTCGGCCATGTGCAACCATCGTGTAAAACCTTGTCATAGTAGGCTGAACATACTCCTTGAAAATTCATTTTTGGGTCCTTGTATAGTTCTTGAATAGTCCTTGAATTTTAAGTGGTTACCTCGGCATGAACCCTGTATTAATGACACCTATATAATTGAGATTAAAAGGGCAAATCAATATTCAGTAAAAATTCTGTTCAACAATTTTTGTTTTTGTTTTTAGGAAGTAATTGGAACAGCTATTGCCTTCAACCTGCTGTCAGATGGAAAGTAATACCAAAGTTTTGTTATTTTATAATATTTAATATCATATGCAAATGGAATTTCACTTAAATAAATATAGATATTCCATCTAATGCATTCATCAGGGGTGTAGCGAGGTCACAAGAATTATAAGAGGGATGGGGGGGGGGGGGCAGAATAAAACAACAACAACAAACAAACAATCAAAGAGAAACAAACATTTTTATTCATTTAATCGTTTGAAGAAAATTCATTCTAATTTCTAATATTTTACCTTTTTTTCATATTTCAATAATTAATTACCAAAACTTTTGGAGGGCATGTGTTTGGGCCACTCGCTATGCCACTGGCATTCATTACAACTGAAAGTTGACTACAAAGAACTTGTCTGTCAAAGTCACAAAATATTTGTCCCATAATCTAAAATTATCTATTGTTTTTTATTCTGAAGAATTCCCTTGTACGCTGGTGTCCTGATCACCATAACAGACACATTTATCTTTCTGTTTCTTGATAAATATGGTAAGAAAATAATAATTATATGTTAGCATTTGTATAAGATGTTACTACTTCAAAGTTTGCCCACCCATCTATCCATTCCTCCTCCTGGGCAGATTTAGGGCTTAGGGCCTAGAGCAGTGTTACCAGCTCTTTTAGTTTGCTATTCTTTTATTTTTCACCTTTTCCCCCCACAATATCCCAGGATCATAGGAAATAGCATTTCTGGAAACCATTTATTAAAAATGTCCTTGGGAGTTTGCCCCAAGACTATATGTCTGGTTTCGTTTTGCATAGTCAGCAGTGAGTCTTATCTAAAGCCCAATATTTTTTTACCCTTCCTTTCTCAGATTCCTGGATCTGTCTCTGTATTTAAGCCCGTTTCACATGACTTTTTCTCAATGCACTTTACATTTATAGCCAGTGAAGGACTTTATGGGCTGCATATTAAGGTGCTATTAGCAGTCATGGAGCTTACAATCATGAGTGAATTGTATTATGCCTCCAAATTGGGATAGGTTGTTGGACCGGGAGATAATCCCCTACTCTTATATGAATAATTCAACAGGTTCTTTTATGTCCCCCATTTTACTGTAGGTTAGGAAGGGTTGGGAGAAAGGGTCTATGATTTAAAGTTCTTAAAAGAGGAGACTTGAAGGTCTAACCATTTGCAGATGTAATTACAAAGGCAGCATCTTCTCCTCAGTTACCTTAAGACCTTGAGTGTTGGTTCGACACAGGCTTGAACCATGACCTCATACACAACAGCCCAACGCTCTTACCAACTGAGCTAAGTGGGCTGTGGTTGCTTCCCTACTCTGTCTTTATATCTATCCCTCCACTCACCCATCCATTCATTCATCCACCTATGCATCATCACTTAATATTATAATTGTTGTATTTTTAAAGGTCTGCGAAAGCTAGAATTATTTTTTGGGATCCTCATAACGACTATGGCTGTCTCATTTGGCTATGAGGTATAACCTAAAAAACCACACAAGCTTTAATTATTTTTTTTTGTTGTTGAAAATATCTGCAAATACTATGAAGTTAACAGTACAATTATTATGCTTTTAATATCCTAGTTACGCCTTGCAAAAAAGATCTGCATTTTGTTTTGCATGTAACTTGGCTGCCATAGAAAAATTCAAAAATTTGGCTCTAACAATTTTTGATTTCCAATCAGACTGATTTCCTAATTTCCCAATCAGTCCGTACCTTTCATATTTTTGACTGGCAGCAGTGAAAAACCTAATTTCAGTGTGCAACTCGGAGACATCAAGGACAGATGCAGCCAAAATTTTAGGGGGGGCTTCAACCCCCCTTTGCCCTCCCTTGGATCCACCCTTGGACACAAAGTTTGCATGTTATGAAAATGGCAGTAAAAGACAGTTTCCATTGTTGCCCACAGTATATTGTTGTACTACCAGAACAGGGAGAAGTTGTCAAAGGACTCTTTATACCATATTGTAAAGACTGCGACCACAAGGCCATATTACAGGTGAACAGTTTATTTGTAGATATTATGTTAATGCACATGCTAAAAAAACATTTTTATGCAACATCAAATGTCAAAGTTTCAGATGTCAAAGCTAAACGTTTTTCCCACTTGAGGAATTCACATGATATTCTCTTGAGAATATTGTTCTTTTATGATGAACATGTTATATTTACACATGACAGAATTAACTTCTAAGAGTGGTCTGAAATGTGAACAACAAACAACGAAGCTAAAGAAGTCTATTGCTTCACTCACTCCACTTGTGTGACAACCCTAAAGATGTCTTCACAGGTCACTATGTATGATGTCGTTTGAATCAAATGCACTTTGTTGAACTCAGAAGAGCTCTTTGTGTTTAGTTTGTTAAAGGATAGGTTCTTCATGTTGCACAAGCTGAAGTTGCATCAACAAATTTCTATACAAATAAATTATAGTTTAATTAATGGATTAATTGTAACAATCTAATTTTAAAATACATTCTGTTATAGGCTGTGGGAATTGTTGGTGCTGTTATTATGCCACATAATATGTACCTACATTCAGCACTTGTTAAGGTATGACATTCAAAGAAAACAATACTTGAAGTAATGCCAGCTTTATTTTGATGATAGATTGTATCTAATGTGATAATGCCATCAACCTACTAATATTTTACTACCAACCTTACTGACACCTTATCAATCACCTACACTTTTATTGTACACAAACAACCTATCAACCTGTGATGACACACTGACATTTTATGAATAAGCACTTATATACTTACTTACACCTTCGGAAGAGCCTAATATAAACTAAAAAATGCCGACACCCTTACAGGGAGTGGTGGTCGTAAAATACGAGTTTTTGTTTGGTACTAGTAAAATGACTATCATGTAAATGATCTAATTGTTATCCTAAAACTTTTCATAGTCAAGAGAGGTAGACAGGACAAAGGAACTTGCTGTTAAAGAAGCAAATAAGTATTATTTCATAGAATCAGGTGAGGCATCTTTTAATGAATTCAGTTGTTTCTTCTGCCTCATTCTCTTACTCTGGCAGCATTTATATGCACTTCCTGGGGTAGTCTTGACGTACTGTTGGACATCATAGAGTTGAACCTAAAGGGAATTCCTCCAGTGGTCTCTGGTCCTAATTTCATGAACAAGTGAATGGATGGACAGACGGACGGATGGACGGACGGACGGACGGATGGATGGATGGATGAATTCAAAGATCTTCTAAAACCTTTTGGTTTTGTTTTGATCCACAGCCATTGCTTTATTTGTTTCATTCCTAATAAATGTCTTTGTGGTAGCAGTATTTGCCGAGGTATGTTGGCACTTCAAATATGATGTGTACTCTGGTGTGTATATACATGTGTACAGCTGTTTCAAAAAAGGTTGAAGGGGTGAATGATTGCCAAATGGTGATTGGTGATTGGCGATTGGTGATTGCATTATCGAAAGGCACAGCGGACATGCATCTAAACACAAATAATCCAGGTGTTTTAAATGGTTTTGTCGACTACTCACAACTGTCTGTGTTATTGACAAGAATGATAAGAAAAGACAAGTCATTCTAGCTATTCTTGCATCTTGAAATGATCTATCTCCTATCACTTATCACCTATCGCTTATTACTTATCGCCATTCACCCCTTCAACCTTTTTTGAAATAGCTGTATATAGAGAATAGGCCATACTGGATATCTTAAAAAAATTGATTGCAAGTGTTTAGATGTTGGGCACTTCATGTATGGTACAAACACATAAATTACCAAATGCATTGATTGGAAGGAATAAAATAACGTATCATATTCCTACCTTTTGGCAATAATAAGAGGATTTTGGTAGAAATTCTAGTCAGTTCATTACTCATCAATGCTATTATAATGCACTATATCTATTAATCCTTTTGGGGTTTAATGCAATTATGAACGTTTTATTCTGGAGCTTGAGAGTCTTGGTATGTGTCATGCTAGAGTTTTAGTATCTCAAACAAGTGCTATTCCAAAATCATCGATGGGTTTAAAACATAGAACCTAGAACTGAAGTTGAGACCGAAAGGTATTCTGTGAAATGACCTAATTATCCCCTGATGTATTCATTTGAGGTACACAGTCGATAAGATATGTGTTAAATGTGTTAAAAGCTTCCATGCTTTCTGTCAGTGCAGCAATTAACAAATATTCCATGAGATGTATCAAAAGATACATTTAATTAATTAACTTACTTCAGATGTACCTTTTCAGTCTTGGCGTCTATGGTCTATGTTTTAAACCCGACAAAGATTTTGCAATTGAGTGTAAAGTAGAATGTGCTGTAACTTTTAAATGGCTTGCCTTTTGCTTTGATTGACTTCTGCACTACATGGTAAGAGTCATGCAATTACATGCAATGACTACAGATTTGCCATCTCATTTCCCACTCATACAAAACCATTCTAATAAAGGAACATGTATCATGGCAGTGAGTATGACATTAATGACCTTATGTTGTTTTGCACAGGCTTTTTATGACAAGAAATACATTGATGTGGTAAGTTATTACTAAACTTAGGTATCCTTTCTTTTTAATACTGTGTTCCAAGCTATCGGCCATTTATCTATTAACCCATAAAAAAGGAACTCTTAGCTTACATGGTGCCCCCTTGCTTTTTTTTGTCGTTGCTTACACTAGAATAATGGCCATTCATCTTTAAGGGAAAGAACAATAAACAAAGCACCAAATTTACTATTTATATATAGGCCTATTTCAACAACAAAAAATTTGGCCATGCAAGATTTGAATTGCGCAATCTGGAATTTTCGCGTTTTCATGTTTTCTGGCTAAAATACAAAAAATTACATTTCTAACTGAAAGGTCATGCCTCATAAATCCAATCTAAAAGCTGTAAATATTTTACCATTTGCAGCATGCTTTAACTTGGCCTCAGATTTCAGATTTCCGAGCCAACAACGTTTTTTGAAATGGATGTATAAAATAGCAACTTCAATAATTTGAATTCCTTTGAATTGTTCTCTATTTTTAGGCAAAAATGTGTAAGCACCATGGAATTTCACAGGCAGATATTTTCAATGCTACATTACATGGTCATGGGGTAGGTTCTGATTAATTATTATTTAAAAAATCCAGTAGACTTGATCACTGCTTTAACATTTCACACCATGTGTCATTCCCTTCAGGATATGCATGATTCTTTGTTTGATAACATGCACATCAGTATCTATATATCACTTAGTTATGGCCAAACAAAAGGAAAAAATAATGCTCAAGGGAATTGGGAAAAAGAAGAATGAGATTTGTCCCACATTGTGAAAACCATCCTTCCTTTAACTTTTGTCAATACCCTGAAACAACCTCAGGATTGTTCAAAGTCAGGACATTGCTAATGAACAGATTGATTGGAATTTAGCTAGGTATTTTGTAGAGGGAAGAAATCTGGAGAACCTGGAGAAAAACCAAATCAAAGAAGAGCAGAACAAACTCTACTAATATGTGATGGCTTTTTTCCTTTCAGTGGAATGATACAATAGAAGGAGATTTATACAAGGGGGTGAGTTTTTTCAACACACAAGTTGGGCAAAACACTGGAGAAATTTAAAGTAACAAGTTATGGGGATTTTGATTTTACAGCAGCATTACCTTTGAGGGCTAGTTAATCTGCTTATTATATCCAGGTTGCTACCAGTAAATGGTATTCCTAGTATTGCATGGCATGATTGAATGGCATGTTTTCAGTAGAAAAAAAAACATTCATGATTAGACAGGTTAGGAAGAAGAAAAAGTAGGGGAGGGAGGGAGAGAGGGAGGGGGCGGTTTTTGGCTCCTATTGAAGGCTTGGAGAACTGAAGATATTTAATTAAGCGTAGAAAAGGTTGTACAGGCAAGAGGTGGGCACTCTCACATCTACACAACACACTTGTATCTAATTTGTATGTGTTTACCTTTGCAGGGAGTTTTTCTTGGTTGTATGTTTGGTGTAGCAGCTCTTTATGTTTGGAGTGTAGGCATACTTGCTGCTGGTCAAAGTTCTACAATGACAGTAAGGCAAACCCCAGATGTTTCTAAATATTACTATAACAATAAACAGTGATCCCACAGATACACAGTTTTTGTTGTAACCTCCCAACCCAAACGTCTCCAGGAGGGTTTTTATTAAAAGTTTAATGAGAAATTCTACAGCTTCAACTACCATCTGATGATCTACTATTATTTCAAAACTAAATGAAAACCCTGTCATGACTGCTTCATGATTCCTTCATAGTCCCTGCTTTATTGTTCTCTGTTTTATTTCTTATAGGGCACATATTCTGGACAATTTGTTATGGAGGTACGATAATCATTGATTGTACTGTGGATTCCTGTTGTTGGGTTCTGTACTCAGTCTTGACTCCCTTACATGAGGAGAATCACTACTTCTCTTCTTCCTGGTTGATATCAGTTACAATATCAGCTAGTTTTTGAAATTTTATGTTTCTATATAAATGTCTATTCAAATATCTAATGCCTGAACCCAAAATCTTTAATTGGTTTAACTTTATGGGCTGCCTTATATACAGCCTTTTCAAAAACAATTTTGGTGAAAGTTTCGTTGCATGCTGTGTGTTTTATTTTGCTTACTAAGCTTGTAACTTTATTTATTATATTCATATGTAAGTAATGTAGTAATGTCAGCACAGAAGAAATTATGCCAGAAAGATGTACAGACAAAGTTTATTAAAAAGTCATATTGTTGTGACCTCCTGATTTATTCACACCACCTGTAGTGCAGTTCAGGTTTAGTATGCAACATGAAACATGCAACCAAACCTTCAGCAAACTTTTTTAGAATAGCTGTATTAATATTATATGTATTATATGTTATCTAACCACAGGGATTTCTGAATATCTCATGGGCACGATGGAAGAGAGTGCTGTTCACTCGTAGTATAGCCATAGCACCAACTCTTGCTGTTGCCTTTTTTGAAGGGGTTGATGACTTGACGGGAATGAATGACTTTCTTAATGTACTACAGAGTTTACAGGTATTGAAAAAACGCTATTTGTATTAGTCAATAGCATGGTAGTAATGAAGGGGTTTTAACACCAGCCATGTTAAGACAGGAAAAATACATTGTTGCAAAATGAATGAGAAAGTCGTTGAACTAATCACGGTGTTCAAAATTACTGCTTGTCAAAATGCTTGTACATAAAATCGTTACAATTATGGCACGGCACGGCACGTCTTTCCCGCGTGTTTTTTGCAGTCATCCAAATCTCAAGATTTTATTGATAATTCTCCACATTGAAGGCACACCCCACCACTTACCTGCAAAGAAAAAAGGTGCTTTACTTTCATACTTAATTTTTTTAATGAAGTGTAATTTTTTATCTGTGGACTAAAACTTTTTCTTGTTTTATCATAAGTTACCGTTTGCTCTCATCCCTGTCCTTCATTTTACAAGTGACCCTGAATTAATGAAGTCCTTTGTGAATGGAATGTAAGTATCTACAAGGCACTCTCGGCAATGTATGGTTATTATTGGGGATTGGGGGAATAGAGAGGAAGCATGGAAAATGTTAGCAAATTCTGACACCTTTTTGCTAAGCTGATCTCTTTTGTGGGAGGTGGTGGGTTTAAACAAAGAATTTCAAAATTTTATTTTCTTTATACACCTACTTGCAAGAAGGTTGTCATACAAGAATAGAACATTAGTAATTTAGTGAGAAAGGAATACATTAAAAGACAAAAGAAAAAGTTCAGCTTCAGTGATCTTCTTTTGTTTTTTAATATAATTCCTATCCCACTTAATCACTGTTCTATTTTTGTATGACAACGTTCTTGCAAGTAGGTGTATATAAAATGTTTCTAATAGAAGGTTGGTGAAGGACTTGAGTTTTATTACTGTTACAAAATCCCTTGGTTTCGTTTGTAAATTTTTAATTCATTTGCATTGAATTCCTTTATATATTTCTGTTTCAGTAAAATGAAAGTAGTTGCTTGGGGATTATCTATCCTAGTCATAGGAATTAATACATATTTTGTAGTATCTTATGTGGTAAGTGAAACTAGTATCTTACAGTACTTAGTTGAACATCTCCTGAAAAATCTGAAAAAGTTGCAGAGTAACTCTCTTCAGGTTCTGTGATAGGGTGTTATCAGAAACTGGTGGACTCAGTGTTTTACAGCTACAATGAGAAGAAGAGATGAATGTTTTTCTACTACATCACCCACATTGCTGTACTATTTCACCATTTTCCTATCATTGCTATTTAACTAAATGCGAAAAGTTGTGGAATTCAAAGTCAAAAGAAGACTGGCAATGAGTTCAAGCTTATGTTGCATTGTAGGGCTGAATAGAGGTGCCAGCGATTAAAAAATCCCTTTGCCCTCGGAAATTGAATTGTAACGATTGTATTGTTGTTCCAACCATCCAACATGGCTGCTGGTGGTCATGCTGCATTCTTGTAATTATTCCCAAAGGCTTGAAAGAAAAAGGATAAGCTACACTTGACTCTCATGTTTTCTGTAAAAATTATAATCTCTAACAATTCATATCAATGTCTTATTTCTGTAGGGGCAGTTACCTCACAATGCTGGTCTGTATTTTTTCATCGCTTTGATACTTCTGTTTTATTTCGCATTTGTGCTATACTTGGTAAGCAGCCATCTTCTCATAATACACCAGTCATGAATTCCATGCATAGCTCTGTTTTTTAAGACCAGAGACTCATTTGCACAGGCTTAGCATCGTTCATTAGTCAGCTATTCACAGATACCATTAAAAGTCTGTGGGATTTCAAAACATTGGTATTATTTAACTCGCACATTCTTTACATTGCACTTGACTTGCAAGTGATTTGCTTAGCCTGTGCAGATGAGTCTTTAGTCATAAAATATAATGGAATCTACCAAATGTGAAAAGGGACTATTTACTTCTCTGTTTCTAAATTCATGTACGATGAATAAATGGGTCCTATGCATAGGCCAGCCTAAGTGAGTGAGTTAGATAAACAAGATGCATCTGGTCTAGTTTGGGGACAAACAGTAACATATAAGAGATGATAAACAAAAGTTGTTTTATACCAAAACTATATCATAATGCACCATGCTCGCTGTTTCAGAAAAAATCTATGATAGCGTCATTTTGCTACCACTGCAAGAATGCTTCGCAAATGGTTGTGGTTCAAATATTTATCACTTCTTAAAAATAGTATATGACAGTTGACTTTTATTAACTGAATAACAGAAGGTGTGAAAAAATAGTATGTATGTATGATGCTATGACATTGTATCAGGAGTACTTATAAGTACAAAGGAGATGCGCCTTTCTTTTGATTGGCATTTCTTCTTATCCCAATAGGCATATCTTGCTATGACATTGTACCAGGAGTACTTATGAGTACAAACAAAATGCGCCTTTCTTTTGATTGACACTTCTTATCCCAATAGGCATATCTTGCTATGACATTGTACCAGGAGTACTTATGAGTACAAACAAAATGCGCCTTTCTTTTGATTGACACTTCTTCTTATCCCAATAGGCATATCTTGCTCTTGGCTTTACATTCTTGGATTTTATACCAGTAAGTATACCCCCCTTCCCACCGATGACAAGTTCGTTATTTGTGTTGGTTTTACCAGAATTCAAGAATTCATGTAAGATGTTTGCAATACTAAAGGAACGTTCATAATTTATGTGGTGGAGAACTATAGAATTGGAGATTTTACATTTTAAAATAAGGTTTTTGGGGGTTGTTCCCCACTCAAACATGACATATTTTCATGCAGTGCCCCCCCCCCCCCCCCCCCCCTCAAACTTCAGACTTAGAAGTAGAAACTAAATATCATTAAATATCAAGAATATTTTCCATGCCCTCCCAAAAATTGTTACCAGAGAAAATGGCTCTCCCCCTCTACAAATCCCATAGCCCTTCACCCCTAAATGATGAATTCTACCCAGTAGGTTTTGGCTTTTTCATCTAGCTTGACACTGTCCCGATTGCCGAAGTTTGTTGCACAGTAATTTAACAAATAGACATCAGTTTTTTATGTGTCTGTCCTCTTATTGAC